ACAGATAGATAGACAGAGAGATAGATAGATAGACAGACAGACAGAAGTCACATTTTGATATTGCATTCAGAAATAATGTGAAATACTGGTAAATAAATACATTTTAATGTTAAAAAAATCATGTTTTTAGTTGCCGTTGCTCCACAACAAATCCTTTTATTTAAACAGACCGGAATGATATATTTAAGTACATTAAAAATATAATAATAATTATATATATTATATAATAATAATAATATTAATATTAATAATGATAATTAAAGTGGCATTCATTATAAACAAAATGTATTATAAAGGCCAAGCCAATTTTTTACTAATGTGTGTGTGAAGTTTATTAAATGATATCTTCATTCACGAGATGCTTATGTTTGGGTTCACACACGTCTTTGTGTGTTTATGGAGCGACAGGTCTTTATTTTGCTTTTCTCTCTCATCCGTCTTCAGCTTCTGCTTCTCCATCAGAGACACGTTTTTATGCTGTTTTTGGTCTTTTTTGATCTTGACTGCATTGCGTCATCTTGTTTTCCAGTAAAAATGTCTAAATACTTTAAAACCAAGATACATTTATTTGAGAAGCAGAAATGGCGTATTTTTCCCACACGAATGTATCAAAGTTAAGTGAGGTTTTTTTTCTTAAAACAAGAACAAATATCAGCCAATAGGGTTAGAAAAATAATCTCATTTCTCCTTTGAATGAAGTTTATTTTTCTGACTCTCCTGGCAGATATTTGTTCTCGTTTTAAGCTTAAACTCACTTCATTTTGATAAATTCTTCAGAAAACAGCACTTAATATCTTGCTTCTCAAGTAAATGTAATTTGATTTATGAATGTTTAGATATTTGTTCTGGAAACAAAATAAATTCATTTGACAATCAAAACTGAATTTGAGGAATAAGTGTAAATATATTTTTCTTACACAGAAAAACAAACTCTGTTATCTATAGTAACATTATTATATATGATTATTAGTATATAATACTGTATCTTCATAATATATAATTTAAAATACAATTTTGTTCCATTATATATATTTTTTTTTTTCAATTTATATAAATTATATAATGAAAATAATATATAAAATAAAATATGAAGAGCATACAGTTTTATATAGTTATATATAATAACGATAATATATAATCATTTTAATAATATGTTAATACTATAATAATATTAATTAATTACTTGAAATATTTAATAATTTATTCTATATTCTATTTATTTATCTGTCGATTTTTATCGTATCTATTTTTATTAAATTATTTACATTTTCAATTTATATAAAACATATATAAATATAATTAAAATAATATATTAAATTATATATTAATATACAGTTATATAATTATATATAATAATGATACTGTTACTGTGTGTGTGTGTATAGCAATAAAATATTATTAATAGTAATTGTTATACTAATTTATTATACTGATAATAAATCTATTGTAATGCAATAAATATTTATGAATGTATATAAAGAGAGAGAGAATAAAGTATTTAAAGTAATTAATATTATTGTGTCACTACACTTAATTTTGATTGACCCCCTTCAGAAAACATAACAACTTGCTTCTCAAGATTTATGAATCTTTAAATATTTATACTAGAAAACGACAAAAATACTGAAGAAAATCATGTTTTGCAGGTTGCCTATATGAGAAAAATAAGTGTACACTTAGTCAAAATCCTTAAAGCTCGTCAAGTGAATTTATTTTGTCTTAAGAATGTTTTTCCACTGAAAACTGGCTGAATAATTGATTTTTGCAGGAAAGACTCTTTACATTTGGTCCTTTTGTCTTTGACGAGGGTCGACGGTTTCCAGCGCTGGTTGAGCTCCTTCTTTAATCTTCCTCTCTCTCCATCCATCCATCTCTCCCCCAGATTTCATATCTAATAGAGCCACATGGTTTTGTCATTAATTGCATGATTACGTCGACTGAATGGAAGTGTAAATCCTCTCTTCACGCCTGTCAGATTTGAAAGTTTATCTATTTAACCAGCGCTTGGGCTGAAGTCTGAGAGCAGAGCCACTTCTTTCTTTCTTCTCCTTTCTTCAGCCTCCTTTCTGGAGGATTTTGGCAGCACGGACGGACAGAAACGTCAAAAGCGTTTTGTTTTCCTGACAGTCACCGTCGTGAGACTCCGAAAGGCTTTTTCGTTAGATTCCCTGACTCTTCCTGTGAGGTTGCATCATTATAACGTGTGATTGTGATTGGTTCGTTGTCTCAGCCAATCAGAGGCCTCAGTTGGCCGCCTTCCCGAGCCGTTTGTCGGCTTTGCCAAGTGGAGGCGAAGGGAAAATAAACCCGTTGTCATATCAATTATTGTTGGCTTGGTGAAATCGCTCGGCGCCAAAGCAGCTTATGAAGCAGCCTTGAAAAATCAGACTTAAGACTCCTCCTATTTCAAGCTCTGTCACGGCGAGACGAGCTTAGCGTGCACGTGCGTGTTTGTTCAGACTGAACGAGTCTGATTTATTCTACTGCTGTTTAGATAGATGGCTATAGCGTACTAGCCAGGGTTTTTGAAATAGTGTAGTATGCAGTATGTATAATGTGCTAAGTGTGCAAGAGCGCACTGTGTGCAAAATTGTATCCCACAATGCAATGCACTTGAGCTTCCCCTTACAGTGTGACAAATGAATGGACATAATGTCATGATTTTTTATGTGAATCTCCCTGATTTATTATTTTATTAGACCAACCGCACAAATATTTAATACCAAAATCACATTCAGTTATTGATTGATTAATTATAAATACTTGGATTAAACTTGTAGTATGTTATGAGTGGGGTTTTTTTCCGTAAAATTTCAGCTCTACTAATTTATTTATTCCTTTAATATTTTATTAATCTGTATTGTTTTTATTTTATTTTATTTATGTATTATAAATTGATTAAACTCAGGAAAATAGTGTACTTTTGAGTTTTTGTTTTCAAATCCATATTTTTGTTTGTTTGTTTGTTTGTTTATTGTTCTTTTATTATTTTTATTTATTTATATTTGATAATTTATTATTTATTATTGATGTATTATTTTCTTAGACCAACCACACCTTTTTTAATACCAAAATCAAATTTATTTTAATTTATGTTTTTATTTTTTATTTTTTTTTATTTTTTTTTAGATAATTGGATTAAACAAGTATTTTATGAGTTGTAGCTTGTTTTGTTTTTTTGTTTTTTTTCAAAATCTTAAATTTATTGATTTATTTATTTATTCATTTAATATTTTATTATTTGGTATTATTTGATATATTACTTTCTTAGACCAACCACACCTTCTTTTAATACCAAAATCACATATTTATTTTATTTTATTTTATTTTTTAGATAATTGGATTAAACTAGTATTTTTTGAGTGATAGTTTTTTTTTTTTTCAAAATCTTAAATTTATTTATTTATTGTTCCTTTAAAATTGTATTAATTTGTATTGTTTTTATTTTATTTATTATTTATTATAAATTGATTAAACTCAGGAAAATGGTGTACTTTTGAGTTTTTATTTTCAAATCCACATATTCATTTTTTTATTTATTTATATTTTATAATTTATAATTTATTATAAATGGATTAAAGTGGGGGAAATGGTTTATGACAGGCCTTTTATTTTTATTTTTTAATTCTACTTTTATTTAATTATTTATTACTCTTATTTTTATTAATTTGTGTATTTATTAATTATTGTTAATGGAATAATTAATTATAATTACAGCATAAATTTATTTAACAAAATAATTATAAAAATTTAAAAATTATTTAGACGTTAACTTGATGCAATGTAGTGAGACTATGTGATACTAATTTCAAATTAAGGAATTTAATATAGTAGTATGATGATATTCCATTTCATACAGATATTAGTACTTTAAACAAAATTAAGACTTAATTCTAATCTTAATATCTTGAGCAATTTTGTTTCTCAAGTAAATGTATCTTCACAAATGTTTAGATGTTTCCACTGGAAAACAGATATGATTCTTTGTTGGGAAGATTCCTCATATGAAAGCATACAGTTTCAAATACAAATTTTACATTCATCACCTTTTAGAAAGATATTACCATTTATGCTAACAAACTAACCCTTTTCCCCACTGCACCATCATCAGTTCTCGGTTTCACAGAGTGCTTTTTAACACAAGCTTGTGATTTCCTCAATGCAGTGCCGGTGTGGGGCGGACCGGGGTCTTCATCACGCTAAGCATTGTGCTGGAGCGGATGCGCTACGAGGGTGTGGTGGACATCTTCCAGACGGTCAAAATGCTGAGAACGCAACGTCCAGCAATGGTGCAAACAGAGGTGAGAGTCCAGAGCTTCTGTTTTACGGCAGATTGTCTTGTTTAATAGCTGGACGGTTGGCAAATTGAAGTAATAACAAATGCTGATGCCTTTGTGTTTCGCTTTACAGGACGAGTACCAGTTTTGCTATCAGGCGGCTCTGGAGTACCTTGGAAGTTTTGATCACTATGCAACGTAAAAAGCCATTTTTGTTCCCCCCTGCCCCACAAACCCCCCTCCCCCCAACAGCCTCCTGAGCCATAAAAACTTGCTTGAAAACACGAAACGATGACAACTATACACAATTCATAAACATTTTTTGAAGAATCGTCTTTTGGAACCATTCGAAACGCGTCATGCGTTTCTCCAATTGGACAAGCAACACTGGAGAAGCGCAAACGGATCCCAAACCCTTCTACGTCCCAAGCTCGTGATGGAGGAACCAAACGTTTTGGCTCAGGCTGTAGGGGGGTAATGACGATCTAGGTGTCGGACCACTAACTTTACCTCAAGTGTTCTGACGTGGAGGACAAGCATTGTTTCTTTTCAAACTAACTCTATGAACATATTACAAAAAGACATGAAGGAAAAGTCGGTGAGATACAACATGACAACACATTTAAGTATAAATGATGAGCACCTAATTGGCTGGCGTTTAAAATCCTTCTTTGTTTTCTAAAATGGCAACGTTTCCATTGAAATGTGATCTGTCGTTCTAACAGCAGTCGTCATTGCTGTCTTCAATGGAGAAGTTGGAGCAACGGTACAGACAAGACTTCTTTTGCTGCTCACGTCTTGGGTCCAAGCCTCTCCTCGACATTTTGCCATTCGGACAAAATTGGGAGCCACTTAAGAAGCAATTCGAAGCAAACCGTTCATCCACTTGAGAAAGTCACCCTCCTCTTGAAACCACTGGAGTCGCCAAACAAGAACTCGACATGTCTTGAGGCGCTGAGGCATTCAAGGAAATGGTTGAAACCTAATCGCATCGGTTTCTTGAGGTGGGGACAGTTTTTCGGTGCTTTCGAGGACGTGCTAGTGAACATTTCTGCCAATGTAGCTCCATCTTCACTTCTCGAGAGCTAATGGGAGCGTGAAATGTTGTGTCAACTGGAGATTAGGACCAGAGGATCCACCACCGAAGTCTCGAGTTTCTTTGGTGCAATGTAGCTCCATTTCCATCCTCGAGAGCCAATGGGAGCTCGACCTGTTGCATAATTGGGAGATTTGGACCAGAGGAACCACCAACAAAGTCTCAAGTTTCTTTGGCGAAATGTGGCTCCATTTCCATCCTCGAGAGCCAATGGGAGCTTGACCTGTTGCACAATTGGGAGATTTGGACCAGAGGAACCACCAACGAAGTCTCAAGTTTCTTTGGCGATGTGTGGCTCCATTTCCATCCTCGAGAGCCAATGGGAGCTCGACCTGTTGTGTAAATTGGAGATGAGGACCAGCGGATCCACTAACGAAGTCTTGAGTTTCTTTGGCGCAATGTAGATCCATCTCCACCTCTGAGAGCCAATGGGAGCATGAAATGTTGCGTCATCTGGAGATTAGGACTAGAGCAACCATCAACGAAGTCTCAAGTTTCTTCAGCACCTTGTAGCTCCATTTCCATCCTTGAGAGCCAATGGGAGCTTGACCTGTTGCGTCAATTGGAGATTACGACGAGACGAGCCACCAACAAAGTCTTGAGTTTCTTTGGTGACATCATCTGATACATTGACTGGTCTCTCCATTGACGTACACAATGTATTTGGTGGACCGGATAGGGGATGCGTGGCTATGTCTTGTTTTCGGTACTTCGACGTCCCCAGTGACCACCGTTCATTGCCATCGTTTCAAACAATTTTTTGTCTTACAACTGTCGTTTTCGTTTTGCTCTTGATACCAAACATGCTGCTTTTGCTACATTATGCTGTACGTGTACATGTGAAGAGTCCGATTCACCGGACGGAAGTGTGCGAGAGCATGATTACTTGTGCTGGTCCCACCAATAAAACCATTTCCTTATGCCCCAACAGTCGCCCAGGATGACATTGCATTTTATCGTCATCAATGACCCATTCGTGGTTACTTTGGGATTTCTTGCGTTTGTTGCAATTGTTGGTTCTTTTTAAGGGTGTTTCTATAATGGATTTGGGCTAACAAAGAGCATGAAACGGGCATATGTTTGCGCCATGAAACTACGGTACAACTATCTTGTGAATCTGTTGTAGGTGGGACTGTTTTACACACTCATGCACATGCGTATGAGGGGGAGGGGCCTGCGCTCCGCCATTAGAGCTGATTGGCTGTACTGGAGAATGCTTGAACCTGGAGTGTTCTGATTGGTGAGAGAATGAAAGGAGCCGTGTGTAATCTTATTTGCAAAAAAGCCTTATTCTTGTAAAATCATAGAAAAAAAAATCAAATGCATTATTGTTGTATTATTTTGACTATTATCTTCTTAACAGACATTTGATTTCTTGGTTTAGTGTTTTGCGTTTTTTTAACAAAGATACTGTACTCATTTTATTTAATTAGCAAGGAAAAATAATGCTCATTTTGCTCATATTATGTTAAAAGACATTCTATTTTTTCACTGTAGAAATGTAACGTGAGATGTGTTTGTGTGCATGTATACATAGACGAATGGGACGTGAATGTATACATACACACTCACATATATTATATTTAAAAGCAGAATATAAAGATGTATCCAAATCTTCATATGAATAGCCTTTTTTGTTTTTGTTTTTGAAGCGGGCGCTCATTTTTATACCACCATGAAATTATGAAATTGTGTGTATGAAATCATGAATGACTTTTTATTGTTTTTGTTTTTTAAAGAGTTGGGGAAATGCATTATCAGAAATGCAGAAATTTCCCATAAATCATTGCAGGGAGAGCTTTGACTTCCTGTTGCCCAGTTATGAAGGTTGAATTATGATTACAATCCTGTTGTTATTCATCAATAGTACTAGTATTAACTGAAGTATTACTTTTATAAAAGATGTAGACCTGGTTTACTAATTACTGAATTGAACAAAAACAAATTATCTATACTTTCCAAATTTTACTATAAAAAAAAAAAATAATAATAATTTTGTTACAGCCCATATCTGTGAAAGCTTTCATTTTTTGAAACATTATTTGTCTTTTTACTTTTCAAACCACCGAATGTTCAATCGTTTGTTAGATATCAACAATGATCCTGAATATAATGCCTGTAAATAAACAAATATATATTATATGTATTTGTATAATTTGACCCACAAGATTTCTGTCTTTGAACAAAACTGAGATAACTAACAACAAAAAAAATGTTTATGCTAATGGAAACCTTCCACAGTTTTGAAAGAAGCTTTGTCTCACGCTAACAGCTCTGTTTATCTCTCTTCATTTCATTCCTCTTTTTTTCTGATCCATTTGTTGTTTCTTTCCCAACTCTTCACTTTTTTCTTATCTTAGCCAACACACACTGCAGTCCAGTGGTGAGAGAAATCACAACACTTTTTCTTTTTCCCATAAGACTTTGTGCATTACTCTTATTTTTTTAACATTTGTAATACACTAATACATCTCTGTCAGATTTCACTCCAAAATTAAAAAGCATAAAGAAAATAAAGCCTATTTTTAAACATTTTTACCTCAAAATTCACTGTATTTCTCATTACTGATTATAATTTAGGTGATTATAATTATTGTCCATAAGGTTTTTTTTTTGTTTTTTTTTACTGCTTTACAGTTAAAAATTGCTTAAATTCAAAGTGTTATTTAAATCAGTGCATTAAAGTACTGTGCATTTTTTGCATTATGGTAATGAAAATTAGATTTTTTTTTTAAGATGGGACTATGGTAATTTGTATTGCTGGGAAAAAAATTTGAAAATGAAATGCAAAATGTAATCTTACTGGTCTCAAAAAAATACTTCTCCAAGCAAAATGTAATTTCTTAGTTTTATTTTTATTTTGGAGTGAAATATGGCCCAACAATGTTCTGGAAAGGTTTTATGAGATTCACCCAAAAATTAATCCCATTTTTACCTGTACCGAGCCTGAAGCACTAATCATTTTGTGTTTTTCTCATTCTGAGTGATTCTGTTTCTAGATCGGGATGAAGAAGGGCTTATAAAATGCCCAGTGCCTATAAAATGCCATACGAACAGCGAGAGCAAATTGCCTTGAATTGGTTGCGCGTTTGGTGATTAGCTTCACGTCATCATTGCTAGTTTAAAAACATGCCCCTCTCTCACCACTGCCTCTGCGCTTCATCTTTTTTTTAATTAATAGTTCATCGCAAAGCTCTAGAAGTTTAACGATGCCATGTTTAGTTCACTTTTATTCTTATTTTGTTTTTACAATGGGGGACGAAGTACGAGAGAACTTGGAATCTGGAAATTCCAGCGCTGCCTTTTAAACTGTCGGGAGATTTGTGTGTTTCTAACGAACTTTACCGCAAAGAACACTTGGACTTGTCGGACTGATCTCCAAAACCTACGATGGCAAAGGTGCTCGGAAGTCCTGTTCATCTGCTCAATGCAAGGACATTCGACAACGGTAGCCAAACGTGTGAATCGATTAGACTACAAACAACGGAGAACCAATATACAAAATTGAACGTATTAAAACCACAGCCAACAAAAAAAGAAACAAGCCAAACGCAAACGTGAAAATAGTTTCTCTTTGTACGAAGGCCAAGTGCTATCACTTTCAAACTGTTACTTCTGATGGACACAATAATTGGTTTGAAACCACTGTGTATGTAGATATGTTGACTTTGTATTAAAGAAATGTTGTCTGAAAATGCTGTGCCTCGTATTTGGTGTGGAAATATTCATGGACGTAGTTAATATTAAGTCTAGCATTAGATTTCCACGGGATCATTAAAATTTCATGAGCTCAGTTTGACAAGGCAGATGGCGAAATGAAATTGCTTATCGGTCGCATATACGAGGACCAATCAGCTGTCATCGCACATGGCATCTCAACAGAACAATCAATTATTTCACAATCTGGCCTGATACCTGAATGGTAAACGCATCCATAAGCTCAACATGCTCGTAATCTAACATCTCGTCTCATCTTGATGCATTTTGCCACCCGCTGCTTGCAATTTTAACATGGCGACCCGGGGATGTAAATGACATCCCCGCACTTGATGTATATGACACTTGACATATGCACTTGAATTTGTGCATAAACCACTGGAGGAAACAGTTGTTTGATTGTTTTTACGCCCAATTATATGCATAATTAATGGTGTTTGAGAAGTCAGTTGAGATCTAAACAACCAAGTTAGTACGATGTTCTAGGAAGGTCTATGTTAATATCACCTCACAGTCAGTAGATTTGGTGCAAATCTTCAACAAATGCCACTGGGCTCGCCTGGAGGCTTGAACCATTCACCTGATGCAATTTACTGTCCATGACGGCATCCTGCCGAAGACGAGAGAACAAAAGGTTGGTTTATGTTCAACATGAAATGTAGTAACTGGTAAAAAGCCTTAAAAATCCTAATTTGTCTAGACAATGCAAAAGAGAAGGTGAAGGAGATCCGGGGCTAATTGCTTTTCTCGTCACTCATCTAACTCATTAGCACTGTTCCTTGGGAGCCCATCAAAGATCTGTTTGCATCAGAGCGGCCAAAAGCCATGGAAATTTCGAATAAATGAGAAAGAAGTAAATTGGACAGTCCGCCGCCCGTGGCAGAGCTGAGCTACAAATGGCACATCAATTGAATCAAGCCATGGAAAAGTAATCCTGCAGAAAGAGCCAGACATCATCTTTGAGAGATGAACAAGATAGAATGCGTTTTACTCAAGAGTAATTGCTTAGAAATTGTTCAATGCACTTGTATTCGGATCTAATCAAGGGTGTATTCTTTCAAATGCATTTGATACAACAATTTTTTGATTTGTTTTCTTGAGTACTTTTGGTTTGGCAGAGCACTGATTCTTGAGACGTGGGACAAAACTAAACAGTTTTACCTGGTCGTAGTTTTGAAAACGGCAACATAAATGCTTTAATATGAGTCAGAATAATCTAGAATGTTTTTAACATGCATATACCATTTCATTCAATTTTCTCTGTTTTACAGAAATGAGGGTGTTATATTAGCACTCATTCCCCTGAAACCAACTGTATCCACCATTATTTTATTTTAAAGGGGTCATATGATGCGATTTCAATTTTTCCTTTCTCTTTGGAGTGTTACAAGCTCTTGGTGCATAAAGAAGATCTGTAAAGTTGCAAAGACTAAAGTCTCAAATCCAAAGAGATATTCTTTATAAAAGTTAAGAGTCAGCCACACCTACCTAAAACGGCTCGTTCTAACACGCCCCCACATATCTACGTCACTATTTGGGCGGCGTTATGCAACTCTTCCCACATCTTCAAGCAAAGAAAGAAGGCGTAACTTTTATTCTCGCTGTAGTATTGTTGCTGCCGCCGCCATGTCGCAAAGACGCTGTGTGCTTCGTAGTGAAAGCGAAACTACTTTGTTTGGCCTTCCAAAAGAGGACGATATCTGCTTCGTCATGCCTGGAGCTGATCCGTGCTGGTCGCTGAGGAAATACATCAACTTCGCGCTGTCGATCGCCGGATCTGCTTTCACCGTGGACGAAGCGGAGTCCAGCCCGGGGTCGTCACATGTGGTTGCCGGCATCACAGTATGGTAAGGGGCGTAACATTTCCGTCACACGCTTGAGGTATTCGGCCAATCACAACGTACTGGATAGCTGGCCAATCACAGCACACCTCGCTTTTCAGACTGATGAGCTTTGTAAAAATCGACGCGTTTCAGAAAGGCGGGGCATAGAGGAGAAACAATAATGTACAGTATGTGGAAAATAATGTGTTTTTTTAACCTTAAACCGCATAAACACATTTCATTACACCAAATACACAAAATAATGTTCTTTTTAGCAGCATCATATGACCCCTTTAAAAAACATTTTTCATCACTGTTAATTTACGTTTTGTTTCAGTTATTATTGAAAATGTTTAAAAAATGTGACTCTACATCATCTTTCCATTTTTCACCAACTAGGAGTTCAGCAACACCACAGATTTTGGTAAGTCATTGATTGGGCTTACATTTTATTTCACCACCATGTCAAAATCATCTCACAAAATGTAAAGAAATTGTTTGGGATTTTTAGATAATTTTCCTAGTTTTAAACTGACGCTACAGAAACAAAATGGCTGTTGCCCCTGTTGAAAAAAACAGCATATGCTGGCTAGGTATGTTTTGATGCTGGTTTGAGCTGGTCCTTTGCTGGTTTATGCTGGTCCTTAGTTGGTCATGTGCTGGTCCTAAACTGGTCCGACCAGCAAAGGACCAGCTCAAACCAGCATCCCAGCTTCAAAACATACCTAGCCAACATATGCTGTTTTTTTCAACAGCGCGCGACTCAACAGACAGACAAATGTTGACAAAATCACAACAATACAATACGTTATGCTTGTTTTCTGTTTGAAATCAATTCACTCACTCAATATTTCACAAATTATGTACGGTGTTTGTCTCATATTTAATTATGCCTACAGTACAAATTCGCATATTTTGTGAGAAAAAGCAGGTTGCACCCAAGCGCCACAAGAATCAATGAGCGACAGTTAGCCAATTGTTTGCATGATAAATTGATAGACATATGTGTTAATTGTTTGTTTGCTTGTTTGTTTTGTATGTTATAAAGCAGATGTTGGCAAAGAAGGGAGTTCATTACGCCTGGAAGCTGAAACGAACAGATCAGTTCAGTCCTGGAGTCCCATCACCGCCATTACAGATGTTTCGTGGCGTTTCTGGAGCGCAAATATCTACAAACATATGATCAAATGTTACTGAATTCAGCTTTAAGTATCTCAGTAACTGAAAACGGAAGGTTTGAGCTTTCTGTTATGCTAATCCAATTCTTATGCGACCTTAATCCGAGACCTTTTTTGAGGAGGCAAATTACTTCTTTCTGAAAATTCGCTTGAATACACTTACGGTTTATCTCGGCGAGAGGAGAGTGGCTGCTCTCCGAGTTTATTATGCAAATGAGACAATTTGACAGATTGCGCTGGCTGCGGCACGAGCCGTTTCACTGGGCGGCGCGCGTTTATACGGAGCTTTTGGGCTCTTTTAACTAAATATGCTCTCAAAACACTTTCACGGCACTTACAGAGCGGTTTACATCCCGAACACGATGGGTGCTGCTGGGTCGACAGCTTTTATTAGCCCTGAAACAACATTTCTGGCAAACTATAACCTTAACCATGTTGATTTATTCTAAATAATTGAGTTTATAGGAATGTTGTTGCACTAGCAACAATGGTTATTGCTA